TGTCATTCTGAGGGTGGGAGTGCAGAGGACAGTGATGGTTTAACTCAAATAGCACATGTGACGCAGTATAAAGGGACCTAGTTGTGCCCTAGCTTGTGTGGCTCAGTGGATCGAGTGCCAACCTGTGAACCAAATGGTTGCTGGTTCAATCCCTGGTCAGGGCACATGCCTGAGTTGCGAGCTAGGTCCCTGATTGGGGGCATGTGAGAGGCAACCAACTGATGTTTCTCTCCCTCTCCTTCTCCCTCCTTTCCCTTCTCTCTAAAAATAAATAAATAAAATATTTTAAAACAGAGAGACCCAGTTATGTATGGGGAGGCAGTGGGGTGTTCAGAACTACCAGTACAAACAGAAAGGAAGAAGTTGATTGGCTTTCCCCCGACCAATTTACCCACAAAGCATCAGTAATGAACACCCACAAGTTCTCATTGCTCATAAGGACCAGTTAAGCCACCTAACCAGTGCACTTCATCCTGGCATGTGTGCGCAGAAGGAGAACAATTGGTACCCAAAAGGATCTGGCTCCAGCCTCGTGTGTACAGGTCAGATAGGTCAAAGTTAAATTTTTTTCTCTTAAACTCTGTTTCTAACTTCTGGGGCTGACGTCATTTTAATGTCTTTTCCTCGGCATTTTGGCAGACTGTGGTGTGCAAAGGGCCCGGCAGCGATGTGGTGGTGGTCGGGGAGAGCACAGAGGACATTTCAAGGGCCTTGTGGTCATCTCGGTCACTCCACAGCTCTTCAGAGACTGCAGGCTGACCGGACTCGGTCCTCCCTCTGTGCAGTTCTTCTGGATGTTTTTGGTCTGTTGATTTTCCAGCGTCCGTAACTCAAAGCAACATATCTTTCCTGGCATGCTTGGAAAGGAAGCTGTTGCTAAGATTATTGGGCTCCCAAGGGCAAGTTCTCGTGTTTACGTGTATAACACAGGACATTATTCTACACCAAGGATTGCGTGGCTATAGACATCTGCTAGGTCAGGTTTTTTCCTAACTATTTTAATAAAACTAATGATAACCAGTAAGCTTGACTCCGTCATTCCTCAAAGGAGCATTGGTATTTAATAAATACTTTTCCTTTCCTATGGTTTATGTTCTAGCTATTACACTTGGAAGTAGAATGCACACCCATCATAAAATGCCTAACCTTTAAGTTCGCTCTTTGGAATTCAATATAATTAAAAGCAGAAAGTATGTGTTAGATTTCCAGTGATGCCATCCCCATGTGAGGAGTTTTGGGGAACACCCAAGTAGTCCAAGTCCTGTAGACGATGTCTGAGTTATGTAAAGGAATAAAAAAAGTTTCTATAAAACAAAACAGACATACAAACAAACAAGTAAAAAAACCTTTTCTATCTTTCGGTTCCCAATTCGTTAGTCTGAGAAATGCCTCCTCCAGGTAGAACAGGATAATTGAATCCTTGAGGTGGTCCCCCATTCCACAGGCAGACATGGAGCTGTTCCCACGTGATATATTCTATAGCTTATACCTTCCTGTCGAGTGTTCAGACTGTAACACACTCATCACACCCATCATTTGTGAGCTCTGACAGGGCAGGGTCTCTCAACTTTGGGAGCAGTGGTATCCAGAGAATGAGAGGCACAACTCCCCCCGGAGTCATGAAATGTGGACTGTAACGATTTTAAGTTTCTCTGTGGTTCTGTGCTCAGCGTTTGATAATACCTCTTTTTCAGAGGCAGTGCCCCCCGGTCTTTATATACCTCCTTGCTGTATTGAAGGTTATTCTCACACCATGCTGACCTTTTTCTCTAATTTCCTCTGGGCTTGGAAAAAAACCCTTACTGATATGTAATTTACACACTACACAATCACTTTTGTAAAGTGCACATTCACAGATACCTGCAGCCATCACCTCAGCGGGTTTTTGAACAGAAGAAACCTGATGTCCTCTAGCTGTCGCCTCCACATCCTCCCACCCCCTTTTTAATTTCAGATGCCCTCAGGAATCAGCACTTTGATATAAATCGCCACTGTTCTCGATCAGCTCTGCAGCAGACCTTGCTGTGTGCTCTCTCCTTCAGCTGGACCCATTGCTCTCAGGGACAGGATGGCCTGCCCGAGACAGCCCCACAGAGTGAAGCAGTGCATTGGGGTTAGCCCGGTGTTCTCCGGTGAACTAAAAACCTTGCCCCAGCATTTGAAGAACCTGCTCAACCTGAAGTCTTCATGGAGATGGAGCAACATACAGGATTGTGTCCACCCTCTGCCTTGCTCGCCTGCAGGCTGTTTCCACCACATGCATCAGGGAACACATGCGTAATCCTTCTGCTCGCTGGCAGTCAGTTTGAATACTGCTTATCTTCTCAGCCATAAACTGTATCACAGCTTTGTCCTTGGTTTTGGGAGAACAGTGAAGCAACATTATCTGTCTTCGCTGAAGGCTGTATCTTAACCACCTTACAGTACCATTAATCTGTCAAATCATCCGCCAAACGCAAGGCATTAAGTATTATCTGAACAGAGACTTCTTGTCTACTGCAGGGTCTGGTCCACCCTTTTATTGAAAAGTCTCCACTTACAGTCCTGAACATTTCTGCGGAGGCTAAGCACCAGAGAAGGGATGGGGGTATCGTTTAGGGGGGCAGGAGGGCCCCTCTCATCCCCGGTGGGCACGTTAGAAAACAGTATGGTGGGGATGGATGGAACTGGTCAATAAGAAGTAGCAGACTGTTCATGATTTTCTTTTAGTTTTTCAGTTCATTTTTTTAATTTAAAAATTACAAGGTTTCTAACCATTCCAAATTCAATTTTTGTTTTGAAGACACGTACTGTCAGAGTTTTTAAAGCGTCATTGAATAATTGTCTTCTGGTGTGAAAAATCTGTGGTATAAAAAGCCTCTTATTTCTTAAAGACATGTAAACATGCTCAACTCTCCTCCTTCTGGACTGTAAAGACTGGGACAAAACTACTTAAGTAAAACTTTCACTTATTAATTCACGTCATGAAAAATATCGAGGTTTTTAGTCTTTTATAAAATGCCACAATTCAGTCAACGCGGTACTTTATTTTAACAATGCCCACATAGATATGAGTACTTTCTGTATATTCCTCCCCCCTTTGAATTCCTGAAGCTTTAATTAATAAAGTACATAGTCCTCTTGGTTTATTTCAGTCCTTCGAAGGGAACAATCAGCATTTCCTTACGTTCCTCACTTTCAGAGCCATCCAGCCAAGTTCTCTCCCCTGTCACCATGGGAGGTGACACAAAACAATGGCAGAGAGCAGCACACGGTTACTCGCGCTCCTCTGGTCCTGGCTGAGTTCACGGATTGCCCACGGAAGTCCCTTTTTTCTCTCTCCTGAATCCTATCTGAGCCCACGGCCCTATAAGGGAAAGTCTCCCTGCTTGGTGATGCAATGCCAGCACTCGACATTCTTTCTCATGAGTCACAGTCAATAAAAATTGTTTTCAGATGAATCTGCCTCTGCCTCCACACTGAGAATGGGAAAGAAGAACCTGTATCAAACCAAAACATCTCGTTTCATCAGCTGAGCTCCGGAGGACCTGCGGCTTCTGTAAGCAAAATGAAACGTGTTTCTACCCAAACTGAAAATCCAGTCTGTTCGTATTTTTCCTCAGGTGCACATATTCTATATTGCGAGGAAATGAGGTACATGCTGGAAAGTGTTTTAGGGTGTGGGGCTTGAGGAGCTACCGAGGACTTTTGTGGACAATAGTAATGAAACGTCCACAGGTATTTCGAACTCCTGAGAGCTTCCATATAAACATGAAGTTGTGGCATTTGTACGTACAGCATAGTTGAACATGGTTTTAACTTGCGATAGCACCGACCATTAGTTAAGAGAAGTGGGACTTTATTAGTGCCTTTCTGTTGTGTTGCTGCTAAAGAGACTTACAATAGGGGCTCGGTGAGCCCATGACTGATATCCAAGGTATACACACACATCAGCCGTGGACACGTTAACCCTTCGAGCTGGGGGAGATGGGAGTGAAGGAACACCAGTGTAATGATCATTGAGAGGTTAACTATCATTACTGTGAAAAGGAAGAGAGAAAATCTTAAGGAAGTGCAATCAATCACATGACACATTTTAAGGTTCAGCAGAGAGGGTGTGCATCTCAGGTTGGCATCCATAAAATTCCCTAAGGGGGAAATACACAGCATCTCAGATTCAACTGTAAATCAGAGCAAACCCAAGTCAGAATGAGATGAAGGATTTGCATATAACCAAAGCTCCAAGGTAGGACACCATAGACCAGTGAGAACCCGTTTAGATCTTGAACTTGACTTTTTCTCAGGCATTCCCAATAAAGCTACCCAGTAAGGAAAGGGGGCCAGGGTAGGGAATTAAATTTATTCATCCACCAAGAGTTTGTCTGTTTAACTTACTGAAGTGCCTTTGGTGATGGCATGTGCTTCTCTTCCTATGGGAAAAGGGAAATTATACCCAGAGAAGGGTAACTAGAATGGCAGAAGCGCCTGTTAAATGAGAAAGTGCTGAACCCCTCAGGCATGTTTAGCAATAAGAGCAGAAGCCCAGTGAGGACCATGGGGCTGCCAGCAATGCTAGGCAAAGGAGGGAAAGTGTGTCTTATAATCTCCGATTCTCTCTGGTCCACAGACCAACGTTAGCGAGCTTCTGAGCATCTTGGGTTGCTGCTTCAAACTTTTAGTTGGCAACCCTTTACCTCCTGAATCATGCTCACACTCCCTTCCCTGCTTTTCAAAGCTTTCTGTGACGTGGCTTTAAACTTCTTGTCCAGCTGTGTCATTAGACTAATCAGCTTCCTGTGCCCTCCAGCTCCTACGATGTCACGCATCTCCCTGCCCGTGTGCCATTCACCTCCTAGCACCTTCCCTCTCTGCTCAATTCCCTGTCCTTTGAAAACATTTAGGGTGCAGACATCATATTCTAAGATAACTGTTAGAACTATAAATTAAAGTACATTAGAACGGTGTAGACACTTGGAGATGTTTGTACAATCTCTTTATTTGACAAGGCTTCCCAAGCATTTTAAGCGTATGAAACCCTTTTTCGCAAAGCCAACCCCATCCAGCTCTCCCTCATGCCGGCAGTGCACTGCCTCTTCTGTGTTCCCGTAATACTGTGACGCCCTCTCTGACACTGACCACTGGCTGTTTTTTTCCTAATGTTAGTTATTCGTATAGCACTTTGCAGCTCAGGAAGCACTTTCACAAGGGGCCATTATCTACCTGGGAGGTTTTTATTCTTCGTGCAGATAACTCAAGCTCTGAGAGTGTAAGTAATACGTCCAGTATCACAGCGCTAATAACATTTGGCAGCGTTGAAATTCAAATGCAGGTTTCCTGATCCTAAATCTGGAACCTACTTCCCTCCAAGGATTGTGGTGAGCTTTAGTGTTTTTAAAAATCTATTAAATATGAGAGCAATCTTCAAATTCTATAGTGCCACTACCCAGTGAAAGAAGGGATTTCACCCTCTAGTGAAAGGAGGGATTCATCCATCAGACTGCAATCTTCTAGAAGTCAAGACTAGGTCACTTTCATCATAAACTATAAATGCACATTCTCAGGCGCACCCCCGACCATCTGAATCAGTATGACTCCAGCAGTCTGTCCAGACAAGCCCTCCAGGTATTCTGATACGTGGGCAAGTCTGAGAAACAGGACTGGATGAGAGGATTATCTTTTTTTTTTTTGTGGGGCCCTTGAACTTCAGAGGCTACAGAAGCATTATTGGATCATTCACAAGTACACAAACCTTAATTCTCAGAGCAGAAGACGGCTTACAGTGCTGAGTGAGCAAAGATTTTATCGGTGATTTAAATAAAAAGCATTTAAAAGACTTAAACTGGCAAGATTATGAGCTCTACAGGGTGTTGCCTTCCCTGGAAGGCAGATGTCAAAGGAGGAGCTAAGAAGACAGGACTTTGAAAGAAAAATTCTTCATGGGTGTCAGAAAAACTCACGGGGTGGGGAAAAGAAGATTTATTATAGATTTTCATTTTGGAAAAAAAAATCGCATTAAAAAAAAACGACTTGTTTTAGAAATTGCTGACAACAGGCCTTTAGAAAAGGGTGGAACCATCCAGGAGGGTTACCAAGTATAGGGAGCACGTATGAAACACCAAGGGCAAGGTTAACCCTTTAGCCTAGAAAATGGTCTTGGAGATTTGAGTTCCTGTGACTTTATTTTGGAAATACCTATGTGAGTTCAGCAATAACCTATTTTCACTTTTCCTAAACAATGCATTGTTCTGCAGAGAAAAAAAAAACTGTAAAAGTTTCCTGTTTTCTTTAAACTAGTATGAACAATGCAAAATGTTGCATTTGAACTGTGTACAGAATTAGCTAGCAAAACAGAGCAACTTGCTAAAGTTCAAACAACTGTATAACCCAAATAGTCTGCCCTCTGAATGATGTACCCTTCATGTCTCCAGGAGCCTTCTGGTGTGAATTTTTATTTAACGTCCAACAACAGCACAGCCCAGAATAGGCTACTACTTAAAATTGAACACTATACTAAAATGTTTACCAACAAAATACGATGCCTGGAATTTCCTTCAAAATAAATTAGGGGGAGGGGTGGTGCAGTCTAGATGAAACAAGATTGGCTGTGAGTTCATTGCTAAAGTTGGGCATGGTACATGGAGGTTCATTCTACTAGTCCATTTACTTTTGTGTATGCTTGAAATTTTCCAAAATAAATAATTTTTTTTTTAGTGGACGCTAGACATCACTGTCCTAGAATCCCCTAGCCATCCCTGGCGTGCGCAGTTCTTCTCTGGCCATCCCTCCCTCTATGGCCCCGCCTTCTCCCAGTGCTGGCATTTTTCTTCCCTTCTGCCACCCATTTCTTCACCTGTCTCTTCCTTTCTGTGATCCACCCTGTCTTCCTAACTTAAGGGGAATGCTAAATAAGTAAATAAATGAAAATAAAGAAAATCCTGTTCTATGCAAAGCAAACAATCTAATCCTTCTTTGTTGAGACTTCTCATCAGCCTACACTGAAGTGCCTACTGTTTTATGACCAAGTGTACTACCCCTAATGTAAATTCTTTTTCAGAACAAAAGCCATTCTAACCGCATGGAGAATTCTGCCTTCCTCTTTGCCCATCTGGATCCTGCAGCCAGCTTTTACAATGTATTTCCCCCACTAGAACTCTAAAATGTGTTTAACCTCAAAGTAGAAGTCATGAAGGGTATATCTTTTCTAGGACCCCAGGAAAGGGAATTTAGTCTCTGTGCAGAAACTTCCATCAGGAGAGGTCCAGCTATGAGACTTGACTCTTGATTTACCTCTAGTTTAGAGAAACAGGAGAACAGAAATCCCCACCATCTTCTCAAACTCTTGTTTTCTACATATTCCTTTTCCTTTAAACTCCTCTTACTCCTTTTACCAGAACTTCTGGCAAGTAACATGTTGACTCACGACATTTTATCACTTCCTTCCTCTGGCTCCCTTCCAGGGGAGATGCTAATGAGCTGTCAAGTGACGGATAGGCAAGGCAAGATGAGAGGGCCTTCCCTGTCACAAAAACTGTGCAGTCTGGGACTGGCGATGACAAATGGAGACAGAGTTCATTTCAATGAGGAGGCAGCTCCTGCATGAAGCCACCCTTTGTTTCCTCTGAAGTCCAGATTCTACGTCTCCCATCTGGGTGGATAGAGGGTGCAGCGGCAGGAATGGAGACCCCCGTGCGTCTCAGGGGTCTTCATTGCAGCTTTGTTGGAAGGATTTTGGACGGCACTTGTGGGACAGCTAAGTCTGGCTTCCTCATTTGAGAGAGAGAGTGTGTGCTTGGGAACATTTTGGCAGATGGCTTCTTTCCTTTCCACTTCAATTCAAGGGTTGGGAGGTCAGGCTGGCAGTCCAGCTTGAACTTGTCCAGGGTCAGAAAACATGCCTTTCTAGGAACAAAAGCAAAGTTGATGGTGAAATATTTGGAGAGTCTTCTTATAGGTGTCTAGTCAGTGTGGAGTGAGATAAAGTGTGGAAGGAGTTGGAGAATGGCGGGAGGAAGGAACCTCCTACGTTCTAAAAACCACTGAAATAGCATCGCCAGATGAAGTATGGGACACCTACTTAGATCTGAATTTCATGTGTGGTTGCCTCCCACGTGGCCCCCATTTTAACTGGATACCCACTTACATTTGACTTTCAAATAAACAACAAATACATTTTTAGTGTAAGCGTGCCTTAAATATTGCATGGGCACACACATAGTAAGGATTATATTTACTGTCTCCCTGGAGTTCAGGTTTAACCGCGTCCCTGCCATTGGATTTGCTGATGACCCTATATAGCAACCCAGTCATTCTGACCTTTTCTCGCTCCATCGAATGTAGCTAGTGGCCACGGTGTATTTGTCAGGGTGAAGCAAACACAAGGACTGTGGCAATAATACCTTATCTCGACCTACTGTCAGTGCAAAAGTCATCTGTACTTTTCCTCTGGGAACGTTGTTTAAACAAGGATTGTGCTATGAAGTAACTCCCATCCAAAGGTCTTCTATTACATCATATGTGCTTCTTGGACAGAGCACACCATCAAGAGCTCAGAAAGCATTGCTTGTTCCACTCTTTTTGTGCTTTTGATAGCTTTTTAAATTTTACTTTTTAATGGTGAAAACTTTCAAGTGCACACTGAAGAAGAAAGAATAGAACGATGGACTTCCACATGCCCATCACCCAGCCTCAATAACCATCTACTCATCATTGGTACCACCTCACCTGTAGCCCCCTATCCTGTCCATCCTAACTGCTCTGTTTTGAAACAAATCCTGGATAGCTGGAGCTTTATTACTTTATAATTTCTTATTTCTCACTATATCTTGTCTTTCCTAGTAATGGAACTGTATGCCCAATGGCTACCCTAAACTTTCTGGACAGTGTTCTATGTTTTCATAGTTGTCTAGTCACCCACCTTCCCCAATATAAAATCTAAAAAACTACTCTATCCAGAATGCATTGCCTCCAGGGCCCGTACATGAGACTTCAGTTTGAAAACCAGACCCACCTGGCAAGAGCCGGCTGGGACCTGCACTGTGGGAGGAGGCAGGAGGGGTGGAAGGTGCGCACCATCAGGCCTGTCTGCAGGGCTCCGAGAGCTGTTCCTGGAGACTGGCCCTAGGATACACCCCTCGGGTCTTCCAGTGAGTCTGGGAGCTCCAACACACCTTCACACATCTTTCCTTCTTGCCTCTGCTGGAGAAGATTCCACTGACTTTAACTTGGTAGCCTGACTGACACCGAAGCAACTTATTCTTACCTTCCAAAGAGACACAAAAGGAGAGGCACACAAGCATTTAAGTAACTCGGGGGAAAATGTGATGTTTCGTGTGAGCTTAATAGTTTATTGGACGCTTAAGCTGGTGGGACTGTCCTGGAACAGAACTTCTCAAAGCATCCCTCCAATCAGCCACATCAGCATCACCTAGAGGCTTTTCCATTCAAATTCTTTGTATCGTTCCAATTTTAGTCTATGTGCTGCCGAAGCGAGCACCATTCAAATTCTTGAGTCCACTCCCAAGACCTAGTGAATCAGAAACCTTGGGGGAAGGGGAGCCCAGCAATCTGTGCTTTAACCAGCTCCGGGTAAATCTGGGGTCAGCAACAACAGTCTGAGGCCCATATCCTGCCTACCGCCTGTTTTGTGGATAAAGTTTTATTGGAACACAGTCACAATCATTTACGTGTAGAGTACTTGTAATATAGACCATGCGGCCCACAAAGCCTGAAATATTTACAATCCAGCCCTTTACAGGAAAAGGTTGCTGACTTTTGGTTTAGATTCACACGAAATGATAAGTCAGCAAAAGTCGGAGTATGAGTTAGTAAGAGGTGAACTGGAACACAGGACACTAACTCATAGCAAAGCAGAGCTGTTGGGATTGGTGTCCATGAAAGCTGCCTTTCACCATTTAGCTGAGAATGACTGGCTGTTGCTAACTTCTGTCAGTGGCAATCTCTGCAGCTGAGGACTTACACTGAGCAAAATCTGATTTGATAAAAAAGTTCTTTAAAAATGTGGGCCAGCAGGTTTCTGGGAGTGGTGGGGGAGGCCCTGGGGTGGGACTGTGGGGTGTGCGGGGACCGGTGCGGTGGCTGTGGTGCTAACGAGAAACTGCTAAACTTCTTGTGGAAGCGAAGTAGGTTTCCTAAGAACACAAGGGATGGAGAAGAGAAAACCCATGGTGGCCGTGGAAGCCCCGACGCTGTGTAGGTCAAATTGAGGTCTTCACACCGTCACGAATTTACTGCAAAGAGAGAGCGTGCATTAACATAGGAACAATAAAAGCCATGTTGCGGGGCCCAGGTCAGTTGCTGAGCATGAAGTGAAAGGCGAAAGAGAAGTCAGTTTTAGAGAGACCCCCTCACAGGGGCTATCAAAGTATGCACGCGTTTTACTTAGAAGGTTCGCTGCGTTGACGGCTCCATGGACATTCCTGGATTCCCGCTGCACTTGAAACCGCACCGGGGCTGCTCACGGCTGCGAACTTCCTGGATTAACAATCTAGAAATAAAATAAATGACAATAAACTGTGACTTCTTCAGTATTTAATCCCTGTAGTTCAGTTAGAATTTTTTTCGTATCTAGCATGCTGCCCGCGTGCAACTGAACTTTAAAGTTCATTGCAAAGCAGATTATTGTCCCTTCTTTTGCACAGCGGAAGTGAAATTTGCTACACCAACAAGTTAAGGACATTTTCACAAATTGAGAAATAAACATATATGCCAATTTGTAGGTAGTTTTGCCTTGTCCTTTTGGATGTGATTTTTAAAATTAGACTGATGGTGATATAATAAATGCTGAAGTTCAGTCATAAATGAACATCTTCTACAGGTAAATATTGGGGCTATGTATTTTTATGTTTTTAGTGATTTTTAAAACCTATTCTGACCTTATAGCATCATCAGCATTACTAGAATTATGAAAATAATTGCATTATAAAGAAGTTTGTAACTTAGCCAAATAATGATTTTTATAACTGTCAAAGACCTGAGAGTTGAAATTTCTTATGTGTCTTTTGATAAACTACAGTATTGTTTAAGTGTATTTTTTTTTTTGTTTGCTTATTGGTACAATTTAAGAACTTTATTTAAAAGCAATTTTGGGAGATTACTAGGTACGGCTTTTGGAGCCGTGATGTTTTTGAACTACAGCTACATGGTCAGTAAGTAAACTACGTGGCCTTGATTCCATGTGTTCTGTGTGTTTTGGCCAAAGGACTGTACCTTCATTGTGACTGTAAAGCTTCCTTGGCAATAGTCATCCTTCTTACCTAGTCCCTTGTTGTGATTATACTTCTGGTTATTTAAATGTTTTAAAAGACTAGGAATGTTACTCAGATCTTAAAAACGATTCCAGTCTTCCTGCATCCAACCGAAATGTTTTAAAATATAACAAAGTGAAAATGTTATAATGCACTTGGATTAATTACATTCTATTAATTAAAATATGTCCCAATAAATATGCCCTGCATCTGTGGGTCTTCTACTGGGGTCTGACTTAGAAAGAGGTCATTCAGCTTTTGTACTAAGCAGACAAAAAATATTCAAAGCCCATGAGAGCGTCTCTGCTTAGGCATGGGAACAGAACACTGCAGTTTGGTGTATTAATGCCTCTATCTTACTAAATCAAAGCTGTCATTAGGGTCTATAAATTTAAGTTGTCAGCTTAGTTCTTTAAGACTGGTTTAATGTGAACCAGTTTTTCTGGAAATTGCAAAAACCATAAACAACCAAGTTCTATAAATAATTGTCCTCTTAGAAGATTTAACATTGTATTCTCCAGCTTATTGAAAGCAGTTGAATATATATGTTAAGTGCATGTATTTTAGTAACTTCTTAAGACATACTAGTACATACTTTAGTATAGATGATTACCAAGTACAAGAATTATGTTCCACTACTTGGCGACGAATAATGCCAATTATAAACCTAGATAATAATCTGCAAGGTTAAGGTCATAGCTAGAATCAAGTTTAGCTTTGACTGATTTTAGTAGGTTACTTCTTGTGTTAGATCCGTAGTAACTGTAAGTTAAAATATTGAACTGAAAGATCAGGAAAAGTTGAATATCTTGTGGCAAATGATACTTGCATGTTAATGACGTTGACTGAAAAATAAAAAGTCTGTATGTGCATGTGTGCATTTGTGCATGTGTGTGTATATCCAGAAGACAGTCTCTCAAATAACCAGGCACAATCACAGGAAAAGCAGAACAAGGCCTAATTCTATCCAAATATTACACAAGTAACTCCAGTCCTCTTGTAAACCAAATGTGGTTGTCTGTGTTGTTGGGGCATTTTTCACAAATGCTAAAAAACAGAGAAAGTGGATTTACGGCATGAGTCAGAGGGTGCAGAGAGCAGCTTCAGTGAGTTATCTGAGATGGATACAAGGCAAAGGAACTCTTCAGAACCACATATGGATGCCTGTTACTTGGTCATGCTTCATTCCATTCTGCTTCAATCCTTCTACTTGAAGAAGAGGCAGCCACACAGGGTTACGCCTGCTTTCTAGTCTGTTTTCTGGCTACCTGGGTCCTGGCCAAGGGTTTTTCCAACCTGTCCTCCCTGGTTTCCTCAACTGGGAAATGATGGGGTGGGGCCAGATGATCTCTAAGATTCTTTCAAGTTCTAAAATGCAGCATTTGCTTTGCAAATGGTCTAATGCTTCTTCTGACATGGATCATAGTTTCTGAGATACCTCTTAGAGACCACGCAGTTCTCACACCTAAGCTCTTCACAGAAGGAAACAGTGATTCTTATCCAGTGCTGGTGTGATAACTTTTCTTGAAGATCTATTTATATGTGTGTCAGAAGACTTAAAAACAATGAAATCTCTTTGCTCTAGCAATTCCACTTTTAAGAACTCATTTTAATAAAATGAGAAAGAATGTGCTCAGTGATATAACAACAAGCATTTTGGTTTCAGCACTGTTTATAACAATGAAAAATTGAAAACAGCCTACATGTCTTATCAATGTGGTTAAGGAATCTGCGGTATAAACATATTATGGAACATTATATGATCATTGAAAATGATGTTATAAAAATATAATTATTGCATGGATAAGTACACCTATTGTTGAGTGGACAACAGCTTCAAAGCATCATTTTTCGTTACTATATTTTTCTGTAATGGACTTACCATTATTTATACTATTTATATGCCTACATTGTAATCTACAAGGGTACACCTGAAAATTGTCAAACTGGTTACTGCTGGGTGGTAGGATTATGAATAACTTTGATCTCATTGTCTTGCCTTTATTTTAAGTTCTTCTACAGTGATGACATATTACTTGTATATGTGTGTTAATGCACACACACATGCATACATATACCATAGTTCAGAGAAGTGACATAAAATTTAAACAAATAAAACTGGACACCACGCTATGCCCAGCTGACATAAATACCCTCCCATGCAGCTAGATGGGGGCAGCAGGACCCACGAGGGTCACAGGCTGCTCTGGTTTTGCAGAGAGGGAAAGAGGCAAGTCTGACATTGGAGGACCTTTTGTTCCTTCTTCATATCCTGGCTAGGGTGACCAACTATCCCGGTTCGTCAGGGACTGAAAGATTTCCTGGGATGGGAGACGTTCAGAGCTATGCTGGGAAAGTCCCCAGGCGAACTGGGGCAGGTTAGTCAACTTATGCCTGGCAGACTTGGGAAGAATGTCTAGCACTTATGCAGGTACGCAGAGGTGCACGTCTGACTCACTCTGTGGTACGTGGTCTCTTGAGCGATCACTGACAGAGGTGCTTCTGACCCTGGCTCTCCAGGCCTGAAGAGGCTGTGAGCTCGGCAGGATGGGGTCAGGACTCAGAAGAGGCTGTCTGACCCTGAAGAAAGCAGAGCCCATTTCAGGTGACGCCTCGTCTCTGCATTTATCCCAGTGTGTGCATCTGTTCCGTGTCTGAGCCTCCATAAGATGAAACAAAGTGTCATCTGAATAATTCAGGCTCAGTTAGCCATCCAACGACTTAATTTCTTACTTCAATTATTATTAAACATCGAACTAATTAATGTTGCTGAAGTTGCACTTATTTGATTCCATTAGCCCAATTGTGCCCATTCTGCCAAAACTCTCAACATTCTTTTTATGAAAATGAGAGAGGAAGGAAAGGGGTTAGAGGAGTGGAGGCCGGCAGACCACAGCTGGCGTGGACAGGAAGTACGGGCAGTGATGACAGCGGAAGTCTGTGTAAACCTCTGCGAGCTTCAAGTCGCCTCTCTCTCTGGGTTGCACCTGCACGTATTGGTAGGTGGGCCGGGGGAGATGGTGCAGAAGAGGACCAGTGCCCATTCAAAAAATGGAAGCTGTGATCTTGTCTTGCTGCCTGTCCCCTTTATTTGGAAGTAGCACAGCTTCTTTTCTACCAGCTGAGTCAGGAGACATTCTCATGGGTAATTTCAGGGAACCTGTGCATTGCTCACTTTCACATCACTGTTGGCTTGGGTGTGCTGGAGTGCTCTGTCAGGGCTGTGAGGGTGAGTGTCTCCACTAAGCAGACGGGGCACATTCCCAGGCTGGGTCATGCGGGTGAGTTCACAGGCGTTCCTTCTGTCTTCTAGCCTGCGGTGTAAAGTTACATTATTTCCGAGTCCACAGGGTCAGCATGTGGAGTGGAGTAGAGAGAGAGGCCCAGACTTTAGAATTAACCAGACCTTAGGACTGAACTGCAGCTCAGCCACTTGCCAATAACATTTGGCAAGGTATTGAAAAAATGTTTTAATTTATTGAAAATTTTTAAGAAAGAGAGAAAGGGAGTGGGGGTGGGGAGAGGAATTGATTTTGTTGTTCCACTCACCACACATTCATTGGTTGTTCCTTGTGTGTGCCTTGACCAGGGATTGAACCACAACCTTGGTGTATTGGGACAACACTCTAACCAACTGAGCTACCTGGCCAGGGTTTTGCAAGTTATTCAATATTACCGCTTCCTCAAATATGCAATGAAAATAATATACTTCGTACCTCATTCTCATTTTTCTCCTCCGCTGAGTTTCTCTGACCTATGTTCTTTTGTTGCCTGTAAAACATACAGAAAGAGGGTCCAGCTGATCCAGGGGGTATTCCAGATTATTCTCATCTTTTGCCACACAGTGGCCACAGGCGTGGAGCCCGGATCTTATTGCACAGAAAGCTCTCGAGTCATTTTTATTTTCTGAGAAAGGCTTGGATGCAGCGGTGTTTGTCAAGCATAGTGCAGGGACTATCGGTGGTCTCTGAGGTTCTCCAGCTGTTGTAAAATTCAGGGTGAGAAAGTGCCCATGGTCTTTGTGGGGAGGAAACGTAGGGGAGCCCCACTGACCCTGGGTGGGGGGATTCTTGGTCTTCTCCTAGTCACCATGTAAGTCCCACCAAGAACCCACATCATTGAATCCTTTGTTGTTCTCCCCACCTCATCTTCACCAACCACACAAAATGACAAGGTTTGGGTAGCAAGAAATCCCCTGGATTTTTGTTGCTTGTT